CCGGCAGGCCTTTTTGAATGGTTTGGGTGGTTCTTTGGACCGCGAAAATCTTCCTCGGCGACCCCACAGGACGCTCAGAGTCCGCCAAGACAGTTCCAAGACGGCCGAAAATGGTTGCAAAAGGGCCCATGGCCAAAGAGGCCCGCAAGGCGGCCGAAGAGTGCCCGAAGAGACTTCCCAGAGGCTTTCCAGGAAGCCTCCACGAGCCTAGACTGTTAACAAGTGCACGTGATGCATTTTCGCCCAGATTCTTAAATTATGCTAACGGAGTTCCCCACATAAAGAGATTAACGGTTTCGTGGGACCCATTTTCTTGATGCCCTCCTCGCTTTGGCGGGGCCCCGCTGGAAGGGGGGAGGGGCACGAAACCATGTAAATAGTATGGTTTTCGGATACCCTCCTCGCTCAGGCGGGGCCTCCCTGGAGGGGTGGGAGGGGCACGAAACCATGTAAATAGTATGGTTTTCCGATACCCTCCTCGCTCAGGCGGGGCCTCCCTGCAGGGGTGGGAGGGGCACGAAACCATGTAAATAGTATGGTTTTCCGATACCCTCCTCGCTCAGGCGGGGCCTCCCTGGAGAGGTGGGAGGGGCACGAAACCATGTAAATAGTATGGTTTTCGGATACCCTCCTCGCTCAGGCGGGGCCTCCCTGGAGGGGTGGGAGGGGCACGAAACCATGTAAATAGTATGGTATTCGGATACCCTCCTCGCTCAGGCGGGGCCTCCCTGGAGGGGTGGGAGGGGCACGAAACCATGTAAATAGTATGGTTTGCGGATACCCTCCTCGCTCAGGCGGGGCCTCCCTGGAGGGGTGGGAGGGGCACGAAACCATGTAAATAGTATGGTTTGCGGATACCCTCCTCGCTCAGGCGGGGCCTCCCTGGAGGGGTGGGAGGGGCACGAAACCATGTAAATAGTATGGTTTTCGGATACCCTCCTCGCTCAGGCGGGGCCTCCCTGGAGGGGTGGGAGGGGCACGAAACCATGTAAATAGTATGGTTTGCGGATACCCTCCTCGCTCAGGCGGGGCCTCCCTGGAGGGGTGGGAGGGGCACGAAACCATGTACATAGTATGGTTTGCGGATACCCTCCTCGCTCAGGCGGGGCCTCCCTGGAGGGGTGGGAGGGGCACGAAACCATGTAAATAGTATGGTTTCCGATACCCTCCTCGCTCAGGCGGGGCCTCCCTGGAGGGTGGGAGGGGCACGAAACCATGTAAATAGTATGGTTTGCCGATACCCTCCTCGCTCAGGCGGGGCCTCCCTGGAGGGGTGGGAGGGGCACGAAACCATGTAAATAGTAATACCCTCCTCGCTCAGGCGGGGCCTCCCTGGAGGGGTGGGAGGGGCACGAAACCATGTAAATAGTATGGTTTCCGATACCCTCCTCGCTCAGGCGGGGCCTCCCTGGAGGGGTGGGAGGGGCACGAAACCATGTAAGTAGTATGGTGTTCGGTATGGAGTGGTATGGAATGGTATGGTAGGTATGGTATGGTACGGTATGGTATGATATGGTATGGTATGGTACTGGAGGTATGGTATGGTATGGTACGGTGTGGCATTGGTATGATATGGTATGGTATGCTATGGTACGCCATGGTATGGTATGGTACGGTATGGTACGTATGGTGTGGCATGGTATGGTATGGTATGGTATGTGTGGTAGGAACTATGGTATGATATGGTGTGTGTGGTAGGAATAATATTGTGCTGTATGGAAGATGGAGCGGGGGGTGGGTGGGAGGGAGAGGGTGTTCTGGGAAAACAAGAACCCCACTCAGGAGGTGGGGAAAAAACATCCAAGACGGCTGACGTGGCCCCCTATTGTTGTTAAGGCGAACAAGGAAGCTCACAAGAGGACCCCAAGACTGCCCAGAGTCACCCCCTGAGGGCCCAATGATTTCATTGTGATTTGTTGTTCGATGTTTGGGATTTGGGGGGGTCTGGGCCCACGTGTGCTGATTTTTGGTGGAAGGCAGCAAAATCAAAAAAA